GAGCTTATAATTACTTATAATTCTATACTAAGTATAAGTAAATACCTATTATTATTTATAAGCTTTTTTTTTAAGTAATATTATAAGTACTTATAAGCTTTAGTAATCCCTACCGAGAGGTATTTCCAAGGGCGGAGAAGTGGCCTACCCTGAACCTTGAATATCACTAGACCTCAATATTAATGCTATATGCATCACTCATAAAATATACGTGCATTATCACTGCTGTGCTGGTTTAGGGGTGAAATGCATAAGAGTCGATGAATGATTGACAGAATTAGGCTAAATTGCAGAGAGAATCAACTGAAGATTGTGTGACAAATTCTGTGCTCCTTGTCCTCAGAGGAAAAACATGGTAGAACAAGCTGGTGACATTTAACAGAAAATTAATCAAACAACTGGAACGTGGGTCTCATCTTCATTACCTTTCTCCCTGACGGGCGCTGCTGTTGTGCCGGAACACCCCCCTCTCAGTTCTTCTCACAAGCTATGGACTCTTCGCCGCCTTCATACTCATCAAAGTGATCAACGACTACCCACATCTGAGACATTTCGGTGCACTTGTGGTGCATCCCAAATGCTGACGGGTAGAAATCCACGAACCCAGGCTTTTCACAAGAGATGGTAGCACGCTCACCGAATGAACGCAGCAACGGCTCGACGACCAAATCGACCGGAGCGCCAATGACTGGGTGTGTTGCAGCTCGAATCAAACTGTTTTGGGGGACCATGTACATGTAGTCTGGCTTGTAAGGAATTCCCGACACCTTCCCCGTCTCGGGGTCTTGGAATTCGACCTTGACATTCTTACCAGAGGCAAGCATCCAGAGATCTACTTCCACGGCGGTTTGGGCCACTCTGGATAGATACTCATCGAGGTCGCAATGAAAACCCGTTTCGGGATCAATATCAGGATCAGGCTCCCGGCCTGATTCTCCATCACTTAGCTCAACTTGATTCTCCCGGTGAATGCGTAGCTTCATCATCGGAAGGAATTCATCTAGAAGTAATTTCTCGAGTCGTTCGACAGAACTATGCGACCCAAAGCGCATGTAAGCCATGCGGAGGCTCCAGAATTTGGCAGCATGGTACGCATACGTGAAGGCGTTACTTTCGTCGGGCAAGCCTCCTTCTGAAACACACTGAGCGTTAGACCTGAGCCAGGCGGTGGCGGGGATATTGAACTTACTTCGCAGAGACTGCTGGAAGGATCCTAGATGAGCCCATCCCTCTGTTGACCATTTATCAGTGCAGTCCGGGGAAAGGAGATTGTCGTAGAGGATACGCCAGACCCAGGCCAACATGAGATGGCTGCAGCCTCCGCCGCCGTCTTCGATGATTCTCGGGGCAGTAGGGCAAAAAGAGAGTAATTTCTCCTTTGTTACATCGTCCACAAGGTGCCACATGCATTTCCCCGGTCCTGCAGCGGAGACGAAGGTATTCATATGAGTCCTAAGATCATCCCAAAGATCATGTAGAGGTTGGTAGTCGTAGTTTCCCACATGAAAGGCCATGTGGCTCCAGCGTTCTATTTCTGCTCGATTCGCAGATGGGTCAAGCGAATAAGGCTCGTTCCGTTGTGGGTGGGCTGCCTCCGCCTGGCCAGTGTTGGACGCCTTAGGCACATTAGGGGACGCGGGTGGACTTCTTGCTGTTGCACTACCTGTCGGGGGACGATCCCATTGGTCTGGAGACTTAGAGACTAGGAGAGAGGCGGAGCTCGGTAGGGTTGAAGTTGTTGGCTGGAGGGGCTTGAACACCTCACCCAGTTGGGTATGGCCTACTTGCGAGATCTCTGTGGAGTTTGATACTTTATCAAGCTCAAGAAGTATGTTACTCTCTCTGGCTTTGACCCTGGAGCGAGTCTCTCGCCGTGTTGGGCTTCGTGACGCCTTGGAAGACCGGTCCACCCGGGTCTTGGGGCTGATGGACCTCTTTCTCGGCTTTGTCTTCATTAGAAGTGAGGAGATATAGAGCAAAAAGATGTGATGATGCTTAGTTTGGTGGCCACGTAGCAGTCTAGATACATATAAGACCCACGATAAGGATGAATTTTGGAGGGAGAGGGAGTTTTGGGATGATGTGGGAAGATCAGGTATAAATACAGGGTGGGATTGCCCACCGACACCTTTGTCCTTCTTTGCTTGTTGCACGAGAGCCTATCTCACAGACCGTCCCCCCTTTCCCCTCCCTTAGTCTGGTCTGTGGGTACGCACATGCAGCTCTGCGCCATGCACATTGTTCGTAGTTCGACAATCGGAGACCTGGAGTACTATGCACCATGTGCCACCAAGTCATCTAGGCGGTCCATTGCCAAAAAGTCTTGCCCATCGACTCTCTCGATAGTTGCAGATGCTCATGCTTCAATTATCATGAACGCTATGAAGTGGCCTGCATTTCATACCAAAGTAGCTAGCTATTGGCCCAACTCTACATTGAGAGTAGGCGATTCAATCAATTGCCCCGGAGCCAAAAGTTCAATGATATCCCTTCTACAGGTACGAATTGACGATTGTATTTTGGCAAGCTTGAGATTCAAATGTATAATATACGTTAATCTAGAATTGTATACTAGAGCTAAACCTCTCGATATCCCTTCACAGTACCGAACAGTTAACAAGTACAATTCCATTCTCAGCAAACAACTAGTCCAGACGGTAAACTCCCGCCTTGATATCATCCAGCAGTGATTTCTGAACGGGAGTCCAGCCCAGCTCTTTCCTAGTCTTCTCGCTGGAAACGGCGTTGTCCGCCATGATGGCGAATGAGAGGAAGCCGAAATGCGCGGAAGTCTCCTCCGCCGTTTTGCTAACAGTTGGAACGCCCAACTGCTGTCCAAGTGCCTCGGCAATCTCCTTCATGGTTATAGCTTGCTCAGCAACGGCATGGTAGTAAGATCCCGCCTTCCCATTTTCCAGCACGAGTCTGAAGAGCTTCGCTGTGTCGTTTCGGTGGACGGCGGGCCAGCGGTTTTCTCCCTTCTCGCTATAGACAGAGACTCCCTGCTCTTTGGCCTTGGCAGCCATCATGTAGACAAATCCATGATCTCCCTCACCATGGTTGGTGGGCGGCAGTCGGATAACCGTGGAACACACGCCTTTGCTGGCGAATCCGAGGGCCACGAGATCATTCTTTGCACGACCTGAAGACACGGGGTTCGAAAAGTCGGCCACATCGCTCTCCGTGGCCAAGTCAGCATGGGCCACAGTGAGAGTGCCCGAGGTGCCGACGAATGGCTTGTTTGTGCCCTCGAGGGCCTCGCAGAGGAGCGTGACGGTCTTGCGATCCTCGTCACAGATACGCACATAGTCGGCCATCTCTTCATGCTTGAAGGCGAGATGGATAACTCCGTCCGAGGCAGTAGCGGCTTGCTTGAGGATCTCCGGATCATCAAGAGTTCCTCGCACGGGTTCGGCTCCCAGTTTTTTAAGGGCTTCGACACTCTTGTCGCTTCTGGCCAGACCAAGAACTTGATGGCCGTGGTCAAGGAGCTCACGGACAACAGCTTGGCCAATGAAACCGGATGCGCCAGTTACGAAGACCTTCATGGTGTATGGTGTATGCAGTAAAGAAGTAGAAGTTGTAATTTAGGTTCCTGAAGAGGGCTTAGAGGCAGTTGAATTAGAAGAACTGTCAATTTGATTTGTATTGACGAGAAGCAAAGGTCAGAGGTTATACCTCGACTATTTATACCGGTTTCTCATCATCGACATGTCAATTTTGGTTCTCACAGAGCCGTGAATTAGTTAGAGCCGTTCAATGAGAAGTTCAACATGATATTTGCCAGATCCAATCAGATACTTCATATATCCGAGCAGAGGGAACGAGTATACTCTACGTTTAGCGTCCTATCATCTGCCGTCAACAAGCACCCACATACGAAATGCCCACGGCAGACAGGGGATGGAATGCGCCGATCCCGAGAGCCAATGGAGCAGCAGCATTATGCGAAACCGGGTTAGCTCAAGACGTTTCCATACTGCTGATTCCGCTTGACATGGATCCGGAGCTATCGGCGACCTCCACGGCCTAAAACCGGGCCTCCTATTGGGAGGTCCGTTTTTCATTTGGGATCTCGGACTCTCCTTTCTTTATAAATGCTACCCTGGTGACAGTGGACAAATGAATCTCTGTCGCAAGCGAAACTTGGTCTAGCGTCTGCGCAAAATACTCTCGATTGTGATGACCAGTCCTATCAAGACCGCCACCTTCACGGACATGGAACCGAGGGCCGCCGTGAAGAAGAGCCGTGTTTTCCGAAGATCAAGAGGAGGGTGTCGAAACTGCAAATTACGAAAGATCAAGGTAAGTCCCATCCCAAGCCACGACTCAAAATTACCGCCTAACGCGTCAAGTGTGACCAAGCCAAGCCCCAGTGCCGATGTTGTCTATCATTTGGCGTCGTATGTAACTATGGTATCAGTATACCCGATCTACTGCCTTCTAAGGAGGCGCACTCCCAGTGGTTTGGAACAACATGTGACGCAAGACCGCGGGCAAAAGCCCCAATTCCACCCCTGAAGCAACGTGTATCTAGCCAAGTTGCGTCCAGGAACTCGGCCGTCTCCATCGAATTAGATGCTGGATCGATGAGAACTATAACTCGGTTTTACGAGGAACTGAAAGCGAGGTTTGAATTTCCAACCAAGGATGTTTTGCAATTCACACGAAGTGTAAGTCCAGACCAAACTTTTCTTTAACTTCCACTCAGCATGTTGACCAGCTGCGTATCCGTAGTATCCCTTCTTGATGCATGCTACGCTAGCATTATCTCTCGCTTACGACCGTTCTCTTACCTCGGCAAGCAAACCCAACCAAGGTAGAACTGTACGCGAGATGAAACACTTTCTCCAATGCACGACCTTATTTCAACGCCACTTGTGTGAAGGTATCCATCCAATAGACCGGGATCCCGTATGGGCCACAGCGTCATGGCTTAGCATACTATTGTTCCTTGCCATCGACGGAAGCGACCCTTCCAAGGCATGGCCATTCAAAGGGTCCGAAACGGCAGATCTGGACTGGCTACGCATGGGAGATACAAAATGGAAGCTATATCAACTCACCAACCCGGATCGGCCGGAGAGCATCTTTCATCCCCTCTCAAACCTTTATTCACAGATGCGCACAAGCATCGCAGCCAGTGGAATCGACACCATCTCCCCATCTCTATATAAAGTGTGCGGCCTCGACGGATCCAGCCGACACGACACGAATCCGTACTTCCAAGCGGCTCAGATGGTGACTAACTTGAAGAACTTTGAGCCTTCGAACATCCCGATGCCCGCAGCCATGTCATTTATCACACATGGGCACCCCGAGTTCAAAGTTCTTCTGCTAAAGAAGGACCCCGTGGCCTTGTTGCTACTTGCCTTATGGTACAGCAGGGTGAGGAAATCTGTCTGGTGGATCAATCTTCGGGCTATGACGGAGCTCGAGGCCATTTGTTTGTATCTACGGAAGTACTATAGCCACGACGCTTTGATCATGGAACATTTACCATCAGAGTATTGATCGTGTATAGCAAGCACCCTCCATTATATCTTGTAATGACTATATTATCGAAAACGAACCGCGCATTTAGAAGTTTGGGCTCACTGCCTTTCAACTCCGCTGACTACCAGCTTAAACAGCGGAATCTCAAATTGATATGTTGTTCATGGGCGCAAGACTTCAGTTACTTCCATACCTGAGGACCTTAATTCTCTGGTTACCCGGTCAATCTTGGGTCCGGCTTGAGCCTACTCTCGTGAGAAGGGAAGTGCGTCTTCATTACGCGAGGATACTAGTTTCATGTATTTAAAGTAGCTGTGAAGAATCAATCTTCATTTCAGGTAAAATTGAAAGTGCACCACTTTATCATGGATTGATCACTAATTCAGAATTCCCACGCTTGGGTAGGGTTTACTCGTGTGGATCTACTATCAAAGAGAACTAAATTCTGTACAGAGCCATATTATTCAAATGCATATGCGTGTTCTTTATTTTGTAGTCTAGAAGTATTCGACTCTAATGCTAGGACATCTGCCTTCGACTTGCTTTGCGAGTATGCGCGACGGGTGACTCTAATCTGCCAGGTGCATCCAACGATTACAGATCACATGCTGCTTTCTTCTTCTATTGCCTCCACCTCAATATACGATTCCGTCTTAGCGGCTTACTTGGAATAAGTGCAGCTCAGAGGGTTCGACGCGCCAACACGCTCCAGAGAGATCTTGATGCAGCCCTGGTTGTGGCCGGGGTTGGGATTGGGAGAATAGACCCAGATGCTCCAACTATTTGTAGCCGGGTGAGGGCAGGCATACCACTCGTTGCCATAGATGTTGAGACGACTTTGGCTGTTGAAGGCCCAGCCGGTGATCTCGGCGTATCTGGGCAGCGGAGAGCCCTGATCAACATAGCCAGTAACGCCCATGCCTGCCACCAGACGTCGTTAGTCGCAGGTATTTGAGGGAGGAGAGTCACATGAACTTACCCATGCCACTGCGGTCAGTGAACATCTGCTGGGGAGTGACACTGGGGCTGGTATTGTAGAAGAAGACGGAGCCGTCCCTCAGGTAGAAAGTGCCATAATCTTGGCTACCACCCTGACAAACCGGGTTGGAGGGCTCAGGTCCAAAGTAATAGCGTCCGGTCTTGGCCTTGAGGAATTGGCCGTTTAGCTGGGCGCTGCTGTCGCTCACCGCGCGGAGCTTGAAGGCCTCCCAGGGAGCAGGAACCGCCAGAGCTGTGCTGGCGGTTGCAAGGACAGCGGCGAGAAGGTCGAACTTCATTTTTGCGTTTGGGCTGGTGTAGAAATTCGGAGGGGCTTAGTTAATCTACTCCTATGATTCTCTTAGAATGTTAAGTAGTTAAAGAGACGAGTGTGGATTATGATTGGAAACCGATGGTCGTGGTGCGATATATATACTATTTCTTTGAGGTTGCTTCCAATGGTTCATATGGTAATGACAGGGTCAACTCCATCCTGAAAGTGACAATATACCATACCCAACGGGCAGTTACCTCCGTACAGGAAGGCTTGTTGAACCGAGAATCAATACGAAATGAGTCATGATAGCTCCCGCCTTGTCTCAGCCACATTGAGTAGCATCCGGCCGCAGCATGAAGCTACTTGTCATTGCGTGAGATATATCACAATACTTCGTCAGGCACTAATCAAATCACTCTTCTGAGCAAGCCAGGTGACCATAGAGGAACTAGACGACTCTCAGTTCTCCAATCAAGACCTCTCGCATGCATGAGAAATCAAAAACGGTCAGCGCTAGAATATGCAGCTGAACGCCACCTCGTACAATTTCAGCTCCTCTGATTCTTTCTTGGCAGCAGCGGAGATCAGCAGCTAAGACATCAAGAGGGTCAAAATACGAGAATCAATCTTGGACGTACGTCCTCCAGTCTCTCGCATTCTAAGCGAAAAGTTAAGGGGAAGAGGGTACGGATTGTGGCCCTAAGATTTCACTTCTCCATCCCCCGAAACAGGCTTCCCGCTTTCAATATACTATAGGAACATGAAGCACATTGGCTTATACTCCTTTGGAGGCTGCTGTGCTTCAATGTCTCACGTCCTGCCGGAGCGACCGAGGACGAGATTTTCAGCTGTCGGAAGGGAGAGGAAGCGCCACCGCTTACTGAGGAAGACATGCACATCGCGCATCGCCGTATCTGCAGCAATATACGACTAATTTTCACCTTGCGGATTCCTCGTGGCATTCCCACATTACATCGAAGAGTGGGTGAGGGCCGAGAGACATCCTAGGCGCAGCCCTATGATGAGACGGGATGCGACGTAATGCGAAACAGCTGACTGCATAACTGGGTTGGTCGGGAAAGTCCCACCGTCGTTCTAGAGGACAACTCCATAATTTGACTTACATTACGATGTAATGTTACATGGACCTGAGGTAAGATACTAGCTGAAATAATGATGTCCTGGAAGATAGACATCTTGTCGGTGTTAATGCCCGTTAAGGCTCATTCCGAAAGCAATATTCTCGGGTCTCGTCCATCCTATGTCTCATTAGCAATGTCTTGAACGTCTCCATAACGCTGGTATGCCAAGTCTAGGCACCCAAGCAGAGTCTAACATCTAGTACCATATAGAAGACTTGTGAATACCTTATAGATATGCACATTGAGGTAGGACAAACGAATATTTATTATTACTAGTCGTAACGCAGTTAAATAATTATTCTAATAAGAAGCATGCAACCGATCACTACTCCGTCTTCTTTTTGCCAAACTTCTTTGGTACGCGCGCAAGCCAGTAAACAAAAAGAGCACCGCCCAGATTGACGACCGAGTACACCATGAAGATTCCGAAGTTCCTCCACCTCTCACTATAAAACACCTTGGACTGGGCGAGATAGACGTTAGTGTCGTCAATGGTGCAGAATGAGCACATGTCTGTCGCCTCGTTATCCCGAAGGTATCCCCCAACCATGTCTATGTAAGGTCCCATGAACTGCCCACACGTCGTGCCGTTGGGGGGAGCGAACTGCATGAATTCAACCGATGCGCATTGCACCTTTGAGTTGGCCACAGCGGTGGCGATCATGGAGGACGTCATGTAGGTGAAGGGTGATACCCGATAGAGGAAGATCCAGAATCTGGGCATGGAGTCTGGGCTCGCCAGAATACCGCAAAACATCAGACACAACATGAACAGCACGTTGGCAATGTTTCCGCCGGCCTCTGCTGTCTCAAAGCCGGCAATAATGAAGTCGGTGAAGGTAGAAGTGAACATCATGAAACCCCAAAGTAGGAGAAACATGAGACCTCCACGTTCGGCAACCTCGTTGTGAAGTTTGGCATTTTGATCCAGTCCGATTGGGTAGTAGAAGCATACAAACATGAACAATGCCATGAGCGAGTTCCAGGGAATTTCCACGATGATCTGAGACCAGATAAACACCTGCCAGGAGTAGACCTTCGAAGGTCGTTCTCGGACCTCGTACAAGTCACGCTGGACCACGAAATAAGGCATTGTCTGTTGGACCAGCTGGCCGAAGACGGTCAATAGATTGAACACTGCAAAAGTTTGGTTCTGCAATCCTTGGATTGTGTTCGGTGCGTTGTAGAAGCAGAATCCTAAATCAATTAGCATCGTCATTCCAACCAAGTTTTGAACAGCTCACACTTACCGATAAACAACGAGATACCGACGCAAAGGGCAATCTTGGAATAGATGTATGACGGTGTTCGCCAGTACTGCTGGAATACACGGTGGCAGACTTCAAAGAGCTGTTGGTAAAATGGGACAGCGAACTCATGATGATCAGCCAAGTCTGAAGCTTGTCCTTGCAGGTCAACTGGCTTTTCTTTAAGGCGCTGCAATTCGGTCTGGACTTCTGCATATTCAGGACTGTCCTTCCAGGTCTGGAACCAGTTGATATCAGAATGCGACCCGGGAGCCGCGCCAATCGACTCCAGCATCCATTCTGCTGGATTGGCGTCATGAGGACACGGAGAAGCTCCATTCCGTTCAAAGTACGAGGTTAAAACGTGAGAGTTTTCGCCGATATCGCCAAAATAAACAGTCTTACCACCAGAGGCTAAGAACAGCAAACGGTCAAATCTCTGGAAGAGCATCGCAGATGGCTGATGAATAGTACAGAGAATAGCTTGGCCGCTTTTAGCCAGCTTTTCCAGCAGATCCAAGATAGCCCAGGAGGTTTGACTGTCAAGACCAGACGTCGGTTCATCGACGAACAGAAGAAGGGGAGGCTTTGCTGCCAGCTCGACGCCAATCGTAAGTCGCTTCCGCTGTTCCACGTTGAGGCCTTCTCCGAGCACACCGATAACTGCTTCAGAATACTCCTGCATATCCAGTAGACGAATAACCTCGTCAACGTAGGCGAGCTTCTCGCGTCGCGGGACAGAGGCAGGTTGTCGAAGGAGTGCGCTGAAGTTGAGGGCCTCCCGAACCGTGGTCGTACTCAGATGCAAGTCCTGCTGTTGTACGTATCCGATGTTTCTCTGGAACGATTTGCCGCGAACCTGGCCGTTCACAAAGATTTCGCCGTAGATCACGCCCATTGACGTTCGGTCTGCTAAGCAATCGAGGAGAGTGGTCTTTCCAGCGCCGGAAACACCCATCAAGGCCGTTAGCGTACCAGGTTTGACCCAGCCGTCGATGTGATCCAGAATTCGCCTTGTTTCCGATTTGATTTTGACATCATAACAGACATCCCTGGGACGAGAAGGTTAGCAACAGAAACAGTCATCAGTGGACATGTATCAAAATTACTTACTTCCAGTGGAACACATTCACATGCTTCAGCTTCTGTTTCTCACTTTCGGATCCCTTCTCCGTAACGGAAGCATTCACAGGTACGGCCGGGGTGAGTGCACCTCCAGTAGCTTCCACGTCGCCTTTGAATTCCTTGAATTGAGCAGGTCTGTAGCCCCGACGGAACACAAGAATTTCTCCCTTGGACTTCTTCGCTGTAACGAGCTCTGTCAAGGCGATGTAGATTCCGTTGAAAAAGCTGTTAGTTGATGGGTTAGCACTTGCTTCAAGACAATGAGACTGGCCGGAGCGCATACATGATGAATCCGATGAGAATGCCGATATTACGCCACTTGTTCTTTGGAAGGTATCTGAACCCCTTGGTAATATAGTCTTCTCCACGGACATACGACTCTCCAGAAACAGATCCTACCGCTGAGCAAACTCGGTTTGCATCAGGAATGTCACGGTATCCAGGGACTTCGGGGTTTGGAATGAACGAGGTGCAGAGATACTTGCGGCCGGAGAACTGTTTCTCATTAGCGAGATGGCGCCCACACCAAACTTGAGATTAAACACTCACTTCGTTGATCATAAGAGACTCGAATGCATAGGCCACTGGATCTATATAATTGATCCATCTACACCACCCGAGCATATAGTCGATGGGGATAACGAAACCGGTGAACATGACAAGTGCCAGGATCAAAATAGCTGCCGGCACCATGGCTTGCGACATGGTTCGAGACGCAGACGCAAGTGATCGGAAAATGCCGGACATGACCAGAACAGTCAAAAAGGACGTAAACAGGAAGAAGAAGAATGCTCCAGGCTCGCGCCGCAGATTTGTCATGAAGTCTAGCAATGTTAGCCAATGGCCAATGGGTTACGTAGAAATATAAAACCTTACAAAGAATGAGATTGAACACGATACTGTTACTAATCTTATACGGCATATCCATGAGCATTGAGGCGAACGCCTCGGCAGACGGGTGATAGAATGCATAGCGATCATGCTTCTCAACAATGCCACGCTGAGCATAAAGCGTCAGGATTTCCAGGGCCGAACTAAATGCGTTCATCAAAACAGCAAAGAAGAGCAGGGCGCATCGTTGATAGAAACTTCCAGTCGTCATTGGCAGGTTGTAAAACACCGATGAAATAATGAACGCCATCGAAATGTTGCCCACGAGCTGGCCAATCGTGATATCAGGGCTCCCTATCAGGCGGCGGTATGCGCGCCAAAGACACAGAAGAATCTGCTGGACGTAGGACATGGTGTACGGGGACTTGGGTCGCTGTCCACGAGCCTGCTGGGCCTCTCTCTTGGCTCGGAAGGTAGTTGCGTCGGGTCCGTCGACTGGATGTGCAGACTTGTAGTTTTCAATGTCCTTCTGAAGTTCTCTGTACTCTTGGCTGTTCTTCCAAGCGGCTGCGAACTCATCCGGCGTCCTGGGTGACTTTCCTTCCCAGCCAGCACGCACAATACGTTCCTGCGGACTCGTGATGGAGGTCAAAAAGTCGGGAGTAGTTTGTCGGGGT